GGGAATTGGGAAAACCTTCTTTGGTTATTATCTACTTTATCTCCTTTCACAACAACGTAAAACAGTTGTATATCACAGACTTGACAAGTCTCCGATCCTCTTCAGTGAGAAAGGTGCTTTCAGTCACATCGAAGACAATATTCATGCATTCAAAGATTACCTGGCAAATGAAGAAGTTTGGTATATCGTGGATGGTAGGAAACCGAAGGAATATGTCGCCAAGACAATTCTCATTTGTTCATCCCAGAAACGTCATTATAGTAGCTTTGACAAGCTTGGAACAACTATCCGGTATATGCCGGTATGGTCTTGGGAAGAGATCGATGCATGCAGGATTAAGCTTTTCCGTAATCTTACTCAAGGACATGTTCGGAAATTATATAATAAATGGGGTGGAATTCCTCGGTTTACCTTATTTTATGCTCTCAATGTTTCTCAGCAAAATCTTCTTCAAAGTGCAATTAATTCGGTTAACGATAATTTGTTAAATTTTGTTGGTGAGACCACAGACGACAATAGCGCCAGTCATAAGATCGTCCATATCTGCACGAACATACCAAAAGGAGAGGATGGAGAAGAAGGAGGTGAAAGTGTGGGAGATGTGGAAATAACGGAAGTAGAAGATAATCCTGGAGAGCCCTCTATGTCACAATCTTCCGCAGTAACTAGATCAGTAACTAGACCAGATAAAAGGAAAAGTGTTATAGGGAATGGTGATCCTTTCTATTCAATGTCAACTTTAGAGTTTGCGTCCGATTATGTTTCTGAAGAGGTAATGGACAAACTCATTAAGAATTATAGAGATCAGTTGGAGAATTTCGTGAAAGCTAGTTCATCAATTAGCGATTACAGTACACTCCGGGACGCTATATTCGAACAGATTGCTCACAGAAAATTATTAAAAGGAGGATCGTTTAATGCTCGCCTCCTGCTTCGGGATGTACAATTCAAAACTGTCAATACCCACTCGGAACAAACGGCTGTTCAGTAATTGTTCCTAATGAGTACTGTATTCCAACTCAAAAGAATAATGCGTCTTTTGATGCGCTCGTTTTACCCGACACATTCTTCCAGATGACTATTTCTGAGAGTCATCCTATTATAAAGAGCGGATTAGAAAAATATATTAATAAGAACGATAATTTTGATATCAAATTTTATTTTGTCTTACCGAAGGAAATGTATGACTCTTACCAGGAGCAGGTTATTTACACCACAAAGAGAACTGTTCTCAAGAATAGGCCACCTTGGATTAACCGTCTTAAGCAATATGCTCTGGAAATTGACCTGAAATTGTAGTTCTTGTTAAAAAAGATTAGTTTATGTTCTCACATGGATCTTGAATTGGGTTGATAGTGTTTATCTTTTTATCACATTTCGAGCTTGTAATTTTCAACTATATGTATTCGTGTATGTGGTGTGGGGTGTGCATCGGAAAATAATATTTAGAGTAGCAATGAAGGTTCGACAAAAGGAAAGTTTGTGTTAGTATTATTATTATGAATCGAGTCAGTGATGTTAAGTCTATGAATAATATTGATGTTCAAACGGCAAGAACGATAGTATATAACGAAATCAATCACTCCTTCCTGATATTACCGATATAAACTTGCGTAGAATAACTTCTGGATTCAAAAAAAAGTATATTATTCTATGAAGGAATAGGAACAGAAATTGATAAAATTAGATCGTTTTTTGCCTTAAGTGAATTACTGCGCCAGTGACATCGATGTCACGTCCAAATTCATACATTAATTTCACAACTATATGCAGTATTATATGAATTATATACACTGATTAAATGACCCGATCTTTGTAAGCTTTGCCGCTATTTAACTTGTACGTCTACATGAAACATGCGGTGTCAAAATGAACTAACACCTACCGATTCATTAATTGTTGTCAGTTATCCGTTATCTAGCAGTTAACCTGCCTAATCACATGTAAAATAAGTCGAAATTTTGATTGGCCTCATTGGGTTTTTATTTTTTAACTGCTGACGAAGTGTATGTGCATTGGCGTGTGCTGGTTTTAAATGTCAAAAATAAAATGCTAATCGATGCACACATATTTAATAATAAACCATAAAGTTTGGAAATACCATCTAATAAGGGAAGAGAAGAAACCGTCACATCGGATGTTATACCAGCTACGAAAAGGAAATTATCACGACGCCTCCGATATTATTTTCAATCTGCCAAGGATATAATATTTTTTGTACGAAATTATGATATTTTTTCTTAATTGTCCGAAGGACGCTCTAATGTACAGCAATAGTGATCCGGATGTGTGTACCTTCCGGTCACGTGATAAACAAGAATATTAATTTAACGGAGTTTTTTATTATACAGTATAACTCTTTTACAGTTAATGCAATTAATGTCCTTAGAGTTAGACTTTTGGGTCACGATTCCATGGTATATTTTCGCATCACGATAAAAATCTTTGGCATGATAGTGATCGATAGTTATGGTAGTGTGATGAGTGTGGGAAACTATACGATCTTGTATTTACTGATTTACGTAAATGAAAGAGAATGAAGGGGGAAGCAAGGAATGTATAAATATTGGATGTTGTTGCATGTGTTAGCAATAGTCCTTCGGACTTTAGATGGTTTCCATTCACCTAGTAATATACAAATGTTTAGAAAATTAAGAACAGGTGCGACTCAATTATCACCCGAAGCAATTAGTGATATTATTACTGCTAAGAATATTGCAAATTCATTACAGATATTAGCTAAAAAATATAATATATCCTATACACGAATTCGTGAAATATGGAAATTCTCTATTGCGATAAATAATCTCTTATAATCGATTCAACCAATATATATGTACATTTCTCTCATTTTTATTACAAATACCTTCACAAAATATGACAAATATGCGGAGCATAGAGTCTCTGACTCATATAACATTCTTGAAGAGATGGTTTAAAAACCCAATCTACATTAAAATTGAATTATATTATTCTAGAGTATATAGATTCAAATTCTTAAATCCGATATAACAGCATAATCTCATATAATTAATAAATAAGTCATAAAATGGTTGATTTTAGTTGTTTAGTAGCTCATCAGGGTTCTAAATATTCGAATGAAGAATGGTTGAATATTGTAAGATGCCACAAGTTCATGATAATGGGCAGAGCCCAGACTCAAAGAGTCATGAAACCCCTAGTGAGTGGATGAAATGGATTTGGAAATATCTTACATATTTTAGAAAGAATGATCTCTTATCTTATAATAGCAAAAATTATCTTGAAGCTAGAAAGTTAAAAAGATATTGAAATGATCTTAATGGGCAGAGCTCAGACTCTTTGAGTCATGAATTTTATACAAGTTATGCACCTGAAATTGGTATTGCTATCAATTAGTATTGTTGCGATGAAACATGGTGAGTTTGTCACTTCTGTTTTTCCTATGCCATGTTACAATGGGAAATAATTTCTTCTCTAAAGAGATGTGTATATTTGGCTCGAATTTGACAATGACACAGGTTGATCTTTCAATCTTGTGTCACGAATAGTAACCTCCTGCGTGGTTACTTTTTGATTTGGGACCATCTTCAGGTGAATAACTTTTTTAACATGTGTTGATTTCCTCTCCCTTTTTTTGTATTATCATCTTACTTTTATACTTTTTATGCCTTGTAATTATAAAACTTTATACTTGTTATCTATACTTGTTATTTACTTTATACTTGATAATTACTTATTACTATCTGTTATACTAGTCGAAATGGATTTATTCGGCATAATGCCACTCATCAATCATTCGTCAAAAAAGTATATAATTCGGCTAATCA